GCCGGTTGAAACGCGAGCGGAAGCAATTCCGGTGTCCCTTGGGAATGGCCTTGGCATCACGACTGCCGGAGACTAATAGCAGAGGCTGAATGATAGCGCTGAATGCGCCGGAATCCCGGGAAAATAATCAGCCTCGTCAAACCTATCGATATTACCCTTTGACCCTCCTTCCTCGTCGAATTATCAAGATGGAATTGCTATTCCATGCTTTGGCCATCTGGCTTACTAATTCGTCGTACTTTGTCACTTTTCCTCGCGATAGTATCTAACTGCTGGTATGCACGCGACGTGAACGTATACGTTGGAATATTTTCGGTGCTGCAAACGAAAATTAGAGTTTTTCTTAAAATTGAGTGAAAAACACTTAAGTGAAGAAGAGTGTTTTCTTGGAACAATCGAAAGAAAATCGACAGTTCCTTCTCCCGAGTTCTCAGTGTGATTTTTCTAATAATTAATTTCAATTAATTTATATTATACCGAAGAAAGATTATTTGCTGAATTTTTATGCGCGAAAGACAGTGATCTTCGTGACAAGAATACACACCGCGTATTACATATAGATAAAAATAATAAGAGGGATCATAATACAAACAATGATAATATGTACAATATAGTGATAAATATACGTATACTTGTCAGCAACTTATAAAAAACCTCGCGCAGGTCATGGTGGTCAAAATTCGATTCATTCATAAATCACGACGTACCTTCTTTCAATTACAGAAAGTTTTCATAGAGAGAAATATATGCACGTGATTTATGCGTATATCTGTCACACGGATATTTGGGTATTTGCTGTCTTTGACAGGACATGATACAACGAAAAAAGCTTTGTCTTTTGTTATTGTTATAACTGAACGGAGATTATTAATTAATAAAATACAATGGCTCGCAGAAACTATTGAAATTGAATTTACTAAAAATTCTTATTTAGATATGTGTATGACGTATGTTGCATAAAACATTTTGTAATTTCAACTGTAATCAGACACGACTGTTACGGATATACTGAATAATAATATAATAATATAATTCGATAAAACAACATTGAATAACTTTCGCGAGCAACTAGCAGGATTCTACAGTTTTAGTAGAGACAATATATTTATGAAAAGTGTTCGAAACGTTCTGTAAATGTTCTGTAAATACTTTCGTCAGCAATTGTATA